CGCTCCTCCAGAGTTCTGCCGTCTGTTGCAGTCATGGTACTCCGGCCTGTCTGGTACTATCTCTTCTTCTTCTTCTTCTTCTTTGTAACCTCCACTGAGAGTAGCCTATGGGGTAGGCAATTATATGAGGGCGAGTAGTTGACGGAGATGCTCGGAGTGTAGACGATGTAGAAACTCAACGATCTCTCTCTGAAGTGGCAGATCCTCGATCCAGCGAATTCCCAGGATGTGTTCTGCAAAACCGTTCAGGTCCGAGTCTAATAACGGCGCCAGGTCGGAGGCCGCCAGCAGAGGCGGGAGAATACGGGCAGAGGAGAGGGCAGGGCAGTGAGATATAAAGTGAGTAGTGTCTTCTGGTCCAGATCCGCATAGCTTGCATGTTGGGTCTGAGACGTTCCGGAATATGCATGTATCCGTCCCAAGACCATGGCAGTTCACTAGCAATCGGATTCGCGTTATGTTCAGTTTAGTGGCACTGAGAGGTTGGGGATGATCCTGCCCAGCTTCAGCTCGGCACATTCTGAGAGAGGGAGGTGACTGCATTCAGAGGTGAAGTCTGCATACTGCTCAGCCAGCAGCAGACGTCTGACAGTCCTCTTCCACCCACCTTGGCTCCAATGGCCAACAAGTATGATGTTGGTAGGGGGGGATCCATACTGAGCCAGGGTGTTCTGCAGTGTGGGGATCACCCCAGTTGGTGGTGGGTTCTCCAGACGTGTGCGCAGTAGCTGGACAGGGAGTGAGTCGGAGGGTAACCGTGAGAAGGAGAATAGGAAGTTCATCTGTCTTTGGTGAATGAGGGCCTTGACATCGAGAATTCCCAAGATGTGGAGAGGGCCTTGGTGTTGCAGCGGACTAGGAGGCCGAGAAGTGTTCTCAATATTCTTCGATGGACTCTCTCAAGCAGGAGCAATTCTGTCTTGGTGATGTGCCATAATTCAGATCCGTACAGGAGGATAGGTATGCAGAAGGTCTTGTAGAGCCGGAGAGTTGTTGCAGGGTGTAGGCAACCGAAACGGGCCCCAATGCGTGGTCGACAGATCCTGTCCCTCTTGAGATAGGGGTGTACCAGGGAGACCCTCTCAGTGTGGTCATCTTTCTGACAGTGATGAACACTCTCTCTGACACCCTCTGCTCCAGGAAGGATCTTGGATTTACACTCCCGCAATCCTCCATCACCATCAACCACCTTCTCTGCTGGCTGCCAACATCTTCTGGACATGGTGCAGCGCTGGTTGGAGTGGGCTCAACTGAAGGCCAAGGTGCCTAAGTGCCACTCCATGGTCAATGAGGCATCTACGGGGAAGAGAGGGAGCCCTACACTCACAATCAGTGGGAGAGTGATCCCCCCTGCTGAAGATGGGTCGTTCAAGTTCCTGGGTATGCCAGTGCGGGTTCACTCCAGCAATGATGATGCAAGGTCTTCTCTCCGGGGTTCTTTGCAGCAAATGCTGACGGCAATCGATAAGACACCTCTGACCCATCAGCAGAAGCTCCGCCTCTTCAAGTATTTGCCCTAGGCTCTCTTGGCCCCTGCTTGTTGAGGATTTCCCCATCACATGGCTGGAGCGTGACCTGCAGCCTCTGGCACACGGCTGTTCCGCGTCCTACACGCGCGTGCTCATTTAGCTGCGTCACATTAAAATTACGTAATCCTGAACAACGCGTGCGTGGCAACGGGCCAGTTCTCTTTGCCCCGGGGAAACGGCTGGCTAATTGTTATTGTGAACTTTTAACCTCCGCCACGAGGGAGCTTGTTTGTAGCTCTTGCGGACGGTGAATCTTCTTTCCCGGTCGAAGGGATGGTTTGGCGAGAGTGGCAGGGGTGAAACAGGAGAAAGAAGTAAGTGGCAGCGTCTGTCACACAGTTTTTAACGCCTAAAAGAGCGACTAATAGTATTGTGTAGGCCCTGTAGAAGAGTTTGGTCGTTCTTTTGCCTTTTAAAATTTTTTAGACAAGCGGTATGGGTGTGGGACCACGCGCGTCTGTGGATTGGAAGCAATTGTTGATCTCCGTCGTCCAGCTGGACCGATGGTGGTTAGACAGTATAGGAAGCACAGTTACTCTCACTGTGATTCTTCAGCTCGTGTAACTGAACGATTCCACTGCAGGCTGGACAGCGGAGGAGGAGTGCGCCCACAACCTTCAGGGTGACGTCTGATACTGGTGATAGATGGGAGTCGATCTGTGCATCGTGAGTGCTGCAATGAGGGCAAACTTTGTCACGCATGCCAATTTTCTGCAACCTGTCTCTACTGGCCAGTCGACAATGCAGTGACACATGCAGCACTGCAGGTCCTCTAGCTGGGGACGTGTACTAGGCGGAGAGAGAAAGAGAGCTGGTTGGAGTGGGTAAGGATCATCCAAGGATGGCGTCGTGGACTTCTTGAGTCTGGTCAACCCTTCTGTGGATTTCCTTGGCCTACCCCTGTTATTTTTAGGCCGACCTCCTACCGATTGGCTCCGAAACATGACGCATGCCGCAGCCATTGTTGTCATGTGCCCGCCAGTTGTAGGCTTCAAGATGTGTTGTTACACCATTAGCCATTCTTGTCATTTTTTCCTGGCAACTGAGGCACACACTGTTGGTGGGTGAATGTCTGGGTGTCAGAGTGCTGGTCAATGCCAACTGCTGCCCACTGCTGCCCACTGCTCTGGAGGAGCATGGATATATGTAGGCTTTTGAATTGGCATTGAAGTTGGAAGCACAAACTCTGCAGTGCTTTTTAGCTGTTCCAAATGATATTTATGGTTATTGCGGGCCATTGATGAGTGGGTGTGTGTAGAGTGCCGTCGGAAGTCTCGCGGAAGTCTCGCGTGCACTAGGTACCGGCCCCACCTCTCTGGGCTTGCTGTTTAGTGAGCGATGCTTGTGCGAGGTATGGTACGGTTTGTTGTGCACTTACTGCATATAGCTTTGCGTTGATAAAAACTGTGTGAAGCTGGCACTGAGCGGGTTTTCCGGGGTACCCTTGGCGGGGGTTGCAACAAAGACGGTCTGCACAGTTGTAAACAATTTTGGCAGCTGGCTGCGCTAAGCTGCCATGGTGATGTATAGTTAGTGTTCATGTTCTTTGCAACCATTGAGTGTTGTGTGTAACGTCAGGATTGGTAAAAAAACACCCATAGCAACGAGTCCACAAAAACTACACGTATATGTTGCTATGTCCCGTGATTACAACTTTCTGGCCGGCCAGCACGCGATAACGATCTAAATGTCCGCGCGGAACAGCCGTGGGCAACCAAGGCCCTCAAGGAGTGGGCGGGTCTGGCCCGTCACTCTAACACATCAATCCTCTTCCTCTCTGCCTAGAGGGGTGGTCTGGCTATGCCATGCCATCTCTGGTCAGAGAACACAAGAAGTTGCAGGCATCCAAGATGGTACAGGTAATCATGTCACATGATCCAGGAGTCAGGAAAGTGGCAGATCTCCGACTCCTGGAAGAGAAGAAGAGACAGATATTGAAGTTCAAGCCTGCAGTTCTTGTGGACTCCATCAAGACGCAAGACCACCCCCAGAGCCGTAGGGCCTTGTCAGGTGCGATCAAGACTCTTCTGGCTGAGGAAGAGGACGACGGGTTGCACCTCTCACTCTGCCAGCTTCCAGCCCAAGGAGAGATGGCCAGGGCCAGGGGGGAGTCCTCACCTGATCTGTGGGTGAGGGCTGTTCAACAACTTCCTCCAGAGCCACTGAAGTTTGTCCTGAATTCATCGCACAACACCCTCCCAACACACCCAATCTTCACATGTGGGGAAAGAAGGCTTCTGACATCTCCCCCCTATGCCGAGTCTCAAGTCAAACTCTCTCCCACATCCTCAACAACTGTCCCATGGCTACGGAGCTTCGGCGATATAGCCATAGGCATGATGCAGTCCTCCAGGTCATCGGTGACTTCATCAAGACTCACCTGCCTACTAAGTTCTCCACCCCTGTTGACTCCACCTCAGAGGTCTACAGATTCCCGCAGCACACCACCCCCACTAATGTTCGACCGGACATCGCGTGGTGGAGTGACCAGCGTAGGGAGCTATGTCTGTTAGAGCTTACGAGTCTGGAGTGGCTGATGAAAGAGCTAGGAAGGCAGCGAAGTACCATGACCTGGTGGAGGCTGGGAGAGCAGCAGGCTACAGGGCGAAGCTTTTGAATCTAGTGGTTGGATCACGAGGGATGTTGGGCGACGCAGACTTCGACCTGCTACGTGAGGCTACAGATGCACCAAGAAAGGAGTGCACTTCCGCGTGTCTCCTGATTACAAGAACAACCATTCTAGATTCCTTCTACATCTGGGGCTCTAGGAACCATGCTACTTTACTCACCTGACTTCATCAATTAGCTTCTGTGTGTATGTATGTTAGTACTAGTGAGGCCAGGTAAATACGCGGCACATTCTTCATGTGCCTAGAGCTCTGCCTGGGTGCACCTCACACCTCATCGTTTGTTTGTTTGTTTGTATATGCAAAACAATGAAGAGTTTTATACACACACGAGAGAGAGAGAGAGAGAGAGAGGAAGGGGGGAGGGAGGGGGGGAGGGAGAGAAAATGCGTAGACGACTGGCTGGTTGGAATTAGCTCTGTCCTGTGGACCACTCTAGTCGTCTCCTACCTCTTCACTACGACCCCACATCACCGTGAAAAGCAAGGGATACTCCGAGGAGTCTGTCGGTATAGAGAAAGGACCGCTGCTTTGCTCCAAGACTAACGATCAGCCAAATAACACCATCTTCCGTCATGCCAGCTACTCGCGCCAAGTGCCAGAAGTGCGGTCGGTATTTCAGGCATCTGGATACGCACCACCGGGTGAGCGCAACCTGCCGCGATGTCCCGCCATGCTCTGCGCCGGCTACAATGGTCACGACCCCGCCTCCTATGAATATCTTCTCCCTGCCCCCCCTCCATCAATTCAAATTCCGCAGAGACGCTACAACATTCCACGTGTACCGCATCAGCTGTTGCTACGTTCCGCCATCCTGCAACTCACCATTGAGTCCCGTTGCCAGCTACGAAGGCTACCCTGTCTCCCCTTATGTCAGTGGAGGACTGGAAGCTAGCAGACCCCTTCTTCCAGATCATTCTCGTCCCTTAGATCATGTCCCTTGCCTCTCCTGAACAGATGAGCTCTACATTGTGTGAGGACATCTACTCCTACTTCGCCTCCACATACGGCACCAATACCACAGCCACCAGGAGAGTGAAGAAAAGACCACTCCACAACAGGGCTCTCAAGGAGGTTGAGAGACAGAAGGATGCCAAGAGGGAGCGAGTAAAAGTGGATCCCTCCTGAGGTGGTGCACTCCCTAGCTACTCACTTCATCTCCCTTGTTCGAGCGCACAACAAGTTGAAGAAAGCGTCGAACGCACGCTTGCTTACAATAGAGGTGAAGGCAATGAGGGAAAGGTGTTACGGGGATTTCAGGCAGTGCCACTGGGCCAGGTGGAACCCTCGTTTGGGGATGAGGCTGCAACCTCTTGGTATACCACTCCAACCCTCGGAAATTGTCCAGCAAGAGTGGATGCCAACACCCTCTCTTCCTGAGGTGGAACTAGACTGCAGTAAACAAATCTCTGAGTGAGCTGGCTAGGGTCATCGAGAGGATGAAGGAACATATCAGCTCCCTCTCCCTTCGATCAGGTTGGTACATCATCTTCAAGAAGTGCCCTTCCTTACTACCTGCCCTAATCTAACCAACACCTGCTGGGCTCAGTTGACCATCCCTGGGAAGTGGAAGTGTGCTGCCATCAAACTTATCACCAAGAGCTCAGCCTCAGAGGATACTACCAACCCGGGCAACTTCCGACCAATTGCCCTGACACCTTGTGTTGGCAAGCTCTTTTAAACTCTCCTCCGGTTGTACGGAGCATCATCAGAAGCTGTAGTCAATCCTGGCAGAGGCCCATTCCAATCACAAATCAGTGGCAGTTTGCTTGCTGGATTTGGCCATCCCCTTCTCCACTGGGCCAGTCAGTCAGGTTTTTCAGCATGGAAGTCCAGGTTCCAAAGAACAGCTCTGCTGCGAGGGAGGCTGTCCTGACAAGGCTCCAGGAGATGCTCCAGGCCATCAACGAATCGTTGCTGACGAGGAAGCAGAAGCTGCTGCTCTATTCTGGAGGGGTGTGTCCACGCCTGTCCTGGCCGCTGTCGACCCAAGAGTTCCCCACCACCTGGATGGAAGGGCAGGTTGACTCACTGGTGACAGGGTACCTCAAAAAGTGGTCGGGACAGCCAACACAGCTCTCCTCTACCTCCCCCGCTCGCTTGGTGGCCTGAACCTTCCCTCTCCCTCTACCCACCACAAAAGTCTTCAGGTCTCCCGGCAGTGTCAGCTCCTCACTTCTCAGAACTCCGGTGTGTAGTTCCTGGCTGAGCATGGCCTTAAGAAAGAGCTTTCTTTGGTCAGGAAGAAGTTCAGACCTGCTAGAGAGGCATTGAAGATCAGCCCAGGGTGCAGCAGAACAAAGTCTTCCAAGGCTCTTGTCACGAAGGAAGTCAACTCATTCCTACTGGAGATTAGTTTTTTTTGCCTTTCGTTTAGACCAAGCACGGCTATCTGTTGGTGTGGTGTTTTCGGACTACGTCTCAGCCGTGCACGAGGATCCTGACACTCACCGTCTGGGGAGCGAGACGACTCACAAGCATCCTGACACTCACCGTCGTCAAAGTCGAAGGGCTTAACTGCCGCGGCTGGCTCTTCCTCCGCAGGGTTGACTACAACAAAGAGCATAAATCCCAACAAGTCATCGAAGTCTGTGTCACAAGTGTCGACCCGTCCCTCTGACACTAAGGTGCAGTCTTCGGTCAAATATGCAGTCTGTGAGCAAACCATCGTTGAGGTAACCCTCTTTTGTGAAGGCACATGCACTAGCTGGTTTCACAGGTACTGCGCTAGGGGTATCAATTACTCACTTTCAAGTGCTCCTCTCTAGCGGTTTCGGTTCCCGACGAATATCTGCTGTTTCCTACCGAGAGTGAAGTGATATATCCTGATCATAATCTTGCTCATGGCAGCCAGGGTAGGGGAGGGAGAGGAGGTAGGGATGGGAGACAAGGAGGCAACCAAAGGAAGAAAGAGCATGGAACCAAGAATCCTGAAGGTGGGGGAAGTAGAAAAGGTCAGGGAAGGGGAAGGGGAGGAAGCGGGAGTGGGACGATGGCTGGGAGGGGTTATTGTGGGGATGGGGGGACTTCAGGGGTCCCATTAGTGGCAGCAGCTCTCCAACTAATGTGAGCAAAGGAAACAACTCGTTCATCTCTCAATTCCACCCTTATGACGTTTTCTCCATCTTCTACGATGGTTGTCAGACGGAAAACGATTCGGAGAACGATTCGGAGTGACACAGGGGATGTGAAACGGTGGTGGTTTGTTCTGCATGATTCAGAAGAGGCCTTGAATCCTTGAGCTGAAGTGGGAAAGTAATCAGATGCATACGGGGCGGAAGCTTGAGCTTTGTTATATGCCTGTAGAGCATACCAATTGTGCTAAAAACGCACAACCTCTCAGCCTGAGGAGTTTGAGGAATGTGTTACTCCTACCCCTTCAGAGGTTAGCACAACATGATCCCACCTTGACACAGTATCACCTGCTCCTGAAACGTCTCCTTTTTTGGAGAAGTGAGCCCCGTCAGGGGCAAGGAACCTGAAAACAACAGTGTGAACATGGAACGTAAACGAATACTCTACTATAATGCACGTAGTCTGTTGTCAAAAAATGATGAGTTTTCGGATTGTCTGTGAGGCTACAAAGCCTGATATTGTCTGCATTGTTGACTGGAATCAAGTACTCAATGGGGATACTGTTGATACCGTTGCTGAATCAAGGACAAAAGAATTTCTTAACATCATGGGAGCAATGCATTCCAACAAAAGTTTTACCAACCAAACTAAATCTACCTTGGTTGTCAACTAATATTGTGCGCCACATTAGGAAGTGAAACTCTTTGTTTCAAAAAGCTCAAAAGACCAAGAAAGTTTCTCATTGAATACGCGTCTCAGGTATGGGACCCTACTGAAAGACATCAAGGCGATTGAGAATGTTCAGAAGTTTGCACTTCGGGTTTGTTCAAGAGTCATATGTTAACTTGGTGGACATATACCAAATCCCATCTCTTGGAAATAGAAGGCTCTACCTCACATTATGTACACACTTAAGTATTGTTAATGAGTATTTGTTTTTTCCAAATAATTATACCCACTAGCACAAAGCGCCCGTTATCACCACATCAGAATGCTCTCAAAGTCCCTTTTGCTCGCTCTGATTGTCTAAAATCTTCATTTATTCACAAAACCTTTCGCCTCGGGAACAACCTACCTTCAGAAGTTGTCACATCATCAGACTTCCGTAATTTTACGTAATATATCACCACTCTTCTAATAATGCAGTTTTATTGATAGGTGCACTTTGTATTAGCTACCAGCTATTGTGTGGTTCCTAGCCTTTGTATTTTTTTTCAAAATTCATCTCGTCTGGACAACCTACAGACCCCCGAGAGGCAAGGCCAGTTGAGTAGGTGTACTAGCCCCAGCTGTGCCCCCATCTGGTCGAGTGCTGTGCTAGGACCAACTGAAGTTCGCCATCAATGCAGCGGTGGATCTACTCCCACACAATGCAAACCTCTACCTCTGGAAGAAGAGGAAGGATCCATCATGTCCTCTCTACCACGAGAACCAGTCATTACTGCATGTTCTAAACAACTGCAGTGTGGCTAGGTCTAAGGAGATACAATGTATGGCACGATCGATCCTGAGTGTCATCACTGAAACAGTCGGACGAAACATCCCTCAGACAATATCAATGACGGCCGACATCAGCAACAACTACAAACTGCCCCTTTACATCATCCCCACAGAACTGCTGCCTGACTTGGTGTGGTGGGACGAGGCGCACAAGTCAATCACTCTGGTGGAGTTGACTGAGTGTTTTGAGACCAATTTCGAAGAGGCAGCTCAGAGGAAGACTGCGAAGTACCATCACCTTCTGGAGCAGGCCAAGGCTAGGGGATACAGGTCAGAGCTGATCACCCTCCAAGTTGGCTGTCGTGGGGTCCCAGACCTTCCCGGATTTGAGAACATTGCAGCGAGTCTCTCTCCCGCATAGAAAACAGCTACATTAGCACTGGCTGGATCCTTCGGCATTTGGTGCCCAAGAAACAAATTACAGTAATATCTCTGTGTATGTATGCATGTCCTCTAGTTTGTCTTTGTGGTTCCATGTGATTGTGCGGTGGTTTTGTACATCACCTAGACAATTTGATCATTGGAGTTAACCACTCCTCATTTTGCAACTAAATGAAGATGTTTCACACACACGAGAGAGAGAGAGATGATAGCCTCCACCAGTCATCACCTCGTTTACAGCCAATCACAATCCCCTCAGTATGGTGTCGGTGCTAAGAATTGCAATTGGTCTGAGCATGTACCATCAAGCTTCCATCTCATACTCCAGCAGCTCAGATCTTCATTCGCTTGTCTTCGTCAGAGTATGAAAACAATTGTGGTTATCAGTACACGGATATTTAGGATGGGTAGCTGAGCCTGATCATGACAAAAGCGGTCAGCTGGTATTCAGCAAAGTGCTGTGGATCTCCGGGGGTGAATATTGATGCTGACCTGGTGTGACATATTATTATGGCTCACATCAGAGAGCTGCTACTGGGTATGGAAGTAGTCTCAGTCATATTTTTAAGCCATTCTGGGAGGCAGTGGAGCAGTTAGAGAGATGTGGCTTTCAGGTGCTGGGGTGGGTGTGTAACGGGTTGGTTGCTAATAGTTTTTCTTGCAGCAACGATCATACACACATAGCAGTCAATCCATTCACACATAAGGAGCGATAACATATTTCTTTCTGAAAATCCACATATCCTCAAAACCGTTCGAAATGTATGATAAACCACCTTTGGGTACAGTGACAAGTATTTACTGCATATTTTGCTGGAAAAGATACTTTGTGGTACTTCGTGCATATCTACAACCTTAAAGACTGCCACTCCAGACTTGTACATTATTTCTTAAGCTCCAATTTGAGCACTATATCAGTTATGAGAGTAGACCTTGCTGCTCAAGAGCCCATGTCTGACAACAATATGGCGACTCACCCTTACAGTCCTCAGCCTTCGCCGACTAAGTCAAAGCAGAAAGACAGACACACTCCTCATAAGATGGAGGGAAAAACAGAACTGCCCTAAGGAAGCTCCACAAGCGCCCTGCCTAATGCCTGCATGCTAATACCACAAGTCCTGCCAGCAGAACCATCTTCACACCTTGAG